TAGCTCACTACAAACACGCACACGCCATTCTCACAACGCATTACCAGGGCCTGATAATTCATCACAAGGGAAATCACAACTTCTCATTCAAGAGGAGGAAACAGTCTTTTGGATAAAATCACTCACAGTCTGGAAATTCACCACAAAAGTGGCTGGAGTGATTCTCCTGGCCGAGCTTACTCAGCCGGCTGTGCTTTTCAATGTGAGGACAAGAGGAAGGGACGGGGCCTTTTCATTCTGGAACTGTGCAAAAGACGCTTCATCCACCCCGGGACCCCAGAGGCACACGAGAGCAGGCGTCTGCCACGGGGCCTCCCGGTTTTTCACAGCTGGGTGATTCACCATGTCCTTATAGACATCCAGACCATGTTCCCAAAGGGGGGCATTTCTGCAGAGAATTTGGGGTGCATGAAGAAGACATCAACTCCAGCGTCATCACTGATGATGAAAACCCCAGAGCTCATGAATGTCAGAAATTCGGGTGTTTGGCACTCTGAGGAGGGAGCCTGCAGATTTCAGGCCCCTCTCGGTTTTTCTCCCTGACACCGGCAGTGTTTCTGTCTTCTCCGCCCAGATTCATTTTCGAGGGCTTAGCTCCGAGGAGCGATGGGAATGTTTCAGCTCGAGTGCTCCTGACCACAGGAGAAAAAGCCCCCGATACGTTTCCTAGACATCAGCGAGGATGCTGGAAACTCCATTCTTTCAGGAACGAAATTGTATTTATGAAGCCGTCCTTTTTGTGTTTCGTCTGTCAAGCAGGTTTGCTGAGAATAATTTAAATTTCATGCAGCAGCGACTGCAGAGCGTGGGCAGCGGGACTGCCTTTCATCCCCAGACAGAGCTGGCCGCACTCAGGCCAGGCTGAGGGGTCAAGTCTGCTGAGCAGCCCTGGCTGGGCTGCCTGGAGCCCTCCTGGCGGGGGGATGTGGGGGGAGCAGCTTGCCCCCGAGTTGGGGAGGCACAGTCCAGGGCGCCTCCTTCAGCCAACCAGCACCCATTGCCAGTAGGACTGGCTCCCTCAAATGTGTGGTTACGAAGTGAACCCAGTCTCTGATCTGGCTTTTCAAAATAACTTATTGCGTGTTCAACGAGTGACAGGCACTTGCTAAGCTTCCTACACACATTAACTCAGCCATCCCTTGCAACATCTCGGTGAGGAAGATATCATCATCCTTATTTTATGGGCAAAGAAGCGGAGGCTCAGAGAGCTACACTCAGCTTCCCAGTGGCAGAGGCAGGAGTCACAGTCAGTTCTGACCCCCGGGTTGTGCAGTGAGGGGTCACTTCATCTTTGACCTGCCTTTTCCCACCTGGAGCACAGCAGGTGAGTGAGTGCACTTTCTGGCTGAAATGTGGTGTGTGTGTCAGTGAGGTGGCTGAGAGGATGGGAGAGTCACCACAGCATCTTGGCGACAATGGTTACCATGGAGAATGTACCAAGGGCAGGGGGCGGCGGTGGAGGCAGCCAGGCTGGTTCTGTTTCTCACTCAGTGAGCGATGCAGGAGATGCACCAGAGTCATGCAGAAAGATGATTTTTCTGACTCTCACTTTTCTGGTCCACAAAACAGAGGGGCTGCACGGCCTGTCCATCCTGGCTCTGGGGACTTAGGACTCGGATATTCAAAGGTTGACTGAAGCTCTAGGAAGCAGTTTGCTGGCCTGATTGATGAGTGTGTGTGAGTGTGTGTGTGTGTGTGTGTGTGTGTGTGTGTGTGTGTGGTCTGTCTGGCCAGGCCCTCCAGGTACCTCAGTGTTCCAGCCAGATCTGTGCAATCTAATTGGCCTTTCATCCAAAACACCTAAGAAATCTTCAGGCCACAGAAAAGTAAAGACAGGAAAAAAATCAACTCAGGTCTGAGGGCAGCAGTGACAAAAAGAATCGCCATCACCTCACTGGAGTATAACCTGCATGCCTGTCCCCTGCCCTGGAGAGCCGGCACCACCCACTATGGCTAAGCAGAAACTGACCGGGCCAGGGGGAGCTGGTGACCAGGGCTGGGGGGAGGTGAAGGGGCAACCATCCTACCTTCGTGGGATGGCCTGGGTGACCTCAAGCATGCGACACACCCCCTGCTCCATGCTCAACCCAACAGGACACAGGCCTGTCAGTTCTGACATTTGTCCTCAAGAGTCACCTTCCGGGGATGTTTCCCTGAGTCCTCAGGGGTGGCTCTGGCCCCCACACAGCACTGGAATGCACCAAGGAGCCAAGGCCAATATACTCAAACAGCCTCCCCCACACTCGGGCCACAGGCACCCATACAGAGGGGCACGCCTCTGCTCTTGGCATCTGTGCTGCTCCCCAGCACCACCAGCATGGGGGGCTTGGCCCTGCGCACACCCTGGGCTTGCCTTTGAGGACAGGGCCCCATGGCGAGAAGGGCTTTAGAACCCCTTCACTCAACGACTAGCTTCCTGAGGGTGCCCTCTTCCCTCCAGCCCCCGGCTGCCAGGCCTACAGGCCGGTCACGAGGTCGTCACTCAGAAATAGCCTCCTTTCCCTCGCTGCTTGGGGCCGGCTCCTGCCCCCTATCTGGTCTCCCTTATCTTCTTGGTGAGGTAGAAGTGATCACTTTGTTACAGGGGCACGGCCTAGTCCCACACGTCTCACCTGGGTGAACGTGACTGCGAGGACCGCAGCCCCCCTATAGGATCGGGAGGGGCTCGGCTGTCTTCCGGCCCTTCATGTAGCCCTCATGGCGACTCCAACAGGCCAGGACCACCACCGGCTCCCATTTTATAGGCGTGAGACCAAGAGCTCAGGAAACTTGCTCAGCTAGTGAATGATGGAGCAGAACTCAAACCCAGGAGGTCTGGCTTCAAAGTCTGGCTTCATCCACTCCACTGAGTCGTCTCTGCCAATAACCTCCACGGGAGAGACATTCTTGGGTAATCTGGTTTCACTGTCCAGGCCACAGATTTGTTAAACACTGGCCTGTGAACTCCCTGAGGCAAGAGCCAGTCCATGGCCGCTCAGTAAGGACTCAGTTTGTTGACCGGGAAAACCACAGATACCTCATTTGGGGCCTGCCTTGTCTCTTGATGTGGTGCTGGCACGGGGACAGGCATCTGGGGGGAGATACAGGCTGGGGGAAGAGGACAGCAGCTTGGCCAGAGTGGCACCATGGCTCCAATTTAATAATGGCACCCTGGGCAGAAGCCACTGCTGGTGCTGTCCTCCCTCCATGCTGCACACCCAGCTCTCCTGAGCACCCCAAAGAATCTAGACCATACTAGGCATCTTTGTTTGACCAGACAAGCCCCTGCAGGTATGAAACTAGGCTGGAGATGGTTACACGGGAGAAATGGAATTTAGTTCCTCTGTGGTCACATGCCAAGGAGCTGACTGTCCTTCAGGCATGAACTTCTGCCCTCCTCCCTCTTCCCCACTGCCCCCCCGCCCCCCTTAGTCACCCAGCTCGGTCCTTGCCAGCTGTTGTTTTCTGTCTGAGGTTGGGTTCCTTTCCTCCCATGTGCTGTGTTTGGGGCCCAGCCAGTCAGGGAAGGTGAACACGGAGCTGCTTGGGAACAAAGCAGGCGCTTCTGGGCAGGGCAGCCCTGCAGGAGGGGCCGTCACCTTTCCTTGCCTGGCAGAGCCCACACCTGTGCCCAGGTACTGCCTGAAGTGGTCCCCCAAAAGCCCTCATCTCTGAGACCAGGTCCAGCCCTGGCAGTCGGCTCCAGAAGCTGCCATTCTCCAGATGGTCAACAGCTGGACTTGCCATGCTGCTGCCTGATGTGGCCGGTAGGGCAGCTGGCTGGCTCCACGGGGCAGAGGTCACCGAATCGGAGCAGTGCCAGGGGCCGGCGCCCAGGGGAGGAATATATGGGACTGGTCTGAGGGCGTCCTGCCCAAGTAATCCTCCACCTCCTTCCCCCGTCCAAATTCCTTCCCTCCCCGCCTCTGTGGGGTGGTGTTTTCATAACAGGAAAATAAAATCAATAAGGCACTGCAGCAAGATGTCAGCTCTGAGCAGGCCTCCAGCGCGCCATTGTCTGGGGCCTCCCCGGGCTCTGTGCGGCCCTCATGGTCATTACTAGGAAGCAGGGCTGAAAGCAGGTTTTGAAAATCATAGAGACAAAGGCGCAGACACCTGGAGTGCAGCTTCCCAACACCACAGTCACCTCACAATGGCTGGGCCCCGGCTACCCTGCCTTTAACTTCTCTGGCAACTTTTGTGAAAGCAGGAAAGAAAAGAGGAGACGCCCATGAAAGCCTATCCCCGAGCGGGCCCTGAATAGCCGGCCCAGGCTAAGCCGGGTGGGGGCCTTCAGGGGCCAGGGCTCCACCCCAGAGCCCTCTGGATGCCTGTGAGCGGGACCAGCCCAGCCCGGAGCCAGGCAGGGTCCTGGTAACATTCCCGTTGCTGTCCTGTAAGCCAGCGGCCTGGCTTCTGCTGTCATCCCGAGGGGCAGCCACTGCCTCCAAGGCTGAGGCTGATGGCCAGGACCAGAGGCCTGGGTCCTCTCAGAAGGTCCAGCCTTAGGTCAGCTGTCAAGACTGGGTGTGCCTCAGCATCCTGGACTGTCAGATGCACTGATCTCCAGGCCTGTCTGGGGCCTGGAGGCGAGAGAGGGTGTGAGGCCTCTCAGCACAGCGGTCACTACGTGTAGATTTATGGCCATTTATGACAAGAGCTTCTGGTCAGTACCTTCTTTCAAGCCCAAGTCTCTAGTGCTCCCGGGGGTCCTGCATAACCTAATTTAACTCACTTAGAGAGCCTATATTGCCTGGATTGCCAATGTGGAGCTTTATTCTTATTTCACCCATTAAATAACATTTTCATCAACTTGGCTGAGACAATGGTTGGCCTCAGCACCTGCTCATCTTCCTACAAATTAGTCACAGAGATAGACCTTCTGGAAAAAACTAAAACCATGTTAACCGTCAACAGTTGCCTGGCCAGCTCCAGGAGGCCAGTTCTTTGGAGAAGGCAGCATCCAGGCTCAGAGCCCGCGGAGCTGACCGGCTCCAGGGCAGAGAGGCCCCATGTCTTACCTTGGTGGTGACGGCGGAGGCCGAGCTGGCCACGAGGCTGGTGATGGCCTCGCCGCTGCCGGTGGTGCAGGGGGCGGGGGCCGTGGCGGGCGTGGGCAGCCGGGAGGGCACCACGGGCAGAGGCAGGAGGCCGGGCCGGGTGCTGAGGCTGCTGACGGTGCCGCCACCGGCCCCGGCGGTGGCGCTGCAGATGCTGGTGGTCCCATGCGTCCCGTTGGCACTCCACTCGCGGCGGTCCCAGCCCACCCGGTACTCTCTTTCGAAACGGCTGTGGTGCCGGGACATCTCGGTGGGCCGCGGCGGCTCCTCACAGGGAAACAGAGGCCGGACCTGCTGGCACAGAGCAGAGAGGAGGGCAATTTAGACAAACGGCAGCCCTGCCCGAATGGGCGGTGGGGGCAGCACGTGCCTCGGCGCCTGCTAAGCACCTCCTTGGGGTGCAATAAAGGACTTCGAGATGTTAGCTCATCTCATATTTACGGCCAGCCCGCAAAGCAGGAGCTGCTAGTTCACCTCACAGACAAGGGTCAAGGATTGTCCAAGATGGCAAAGGGGTAGTGGGACGGATTTGGGCCCAGCCACAGTGTTCTGTGGCTTTTTGTTCTGCAGCCCCACTGCCCGGGACCACACGGCACACGTGCTCTAATGAGACCTGGGATTTCATCGCTTTACTCTACAGAAGCAGGATTCTGTGGCCACGACTTCCTCTGCCCTGTGATGGGGAGAGACACTCACTTTGGAGAGAATAAGGCCTTCGGCACAATTCACGTCTGATCCTTCTAGTAGCAGCCGGCGAGGTGGCCTGGGTCAGCTCCAGTTACTGGGCCAGGGAGCTGACTGAGAATAAGTGATTCTCTCCAGGTCAGAGAAGTAGTGAGTGGGAAAGTGGTGGGACCTGGGTCTTTGGACAGTAGCTCAAGGTAAGACTCAAGTCTGAAAAGGACACTAGTTCTTCAGACCCCTACGATTAAATCACCGGCACTGCAGACCTCTGCGCTCCCGCCCTCTGTTAATGGACATCTCCTCCCAGCCCCCATCTTCTCTGATATCCAAACCTGAGGTCCCATGGGGTTGTCATGGAGACCCTGACACACCAGGTTACCCCCAAGGACCTTCTGCATCATCAACGTCACCCTCAGCCAGGAAGGGTGAGAAGACACAGGAGAGGCCATCTCAGAGAGGCCAGGGCGAGGCAGGGCCAAGAGGAGTTCCAGGGCAGACACAGCCTGGAGCATACCTTTACCTGGAGCACACCTTTACCTGGCCAACACGGCGCACCATCATTCTTTTGCCCAAATATCCACTCTCAGGAACTCCCTCCCTCAGAGAAAGCCACCCCCATCGCCCATCTCCATCTCTGTGCTTAATAAGCAAAGTTGTTGATTCTCTTGCTCCAGTGGCTCCCCAATTCTGCTCCCTCCCACCTGCACCTCCACCTCCCATACGGATGCTGTCAGCCCGTCTTCCTGCCAGCCTTGCCTGCTTGTCCATTCTTGCCAGCTGTCTTTAGGACTTTTCAGAGTACAGGTCTGATCAGGGTGTTTCTCTGTCCTGCTTTAAGTCCCATCCTTTAGGAGACGGCCTGGCCTCTGCCTGTGGCCCAACTTGAATGGTCTGGGCTGGCTCACTTTTCCAGCACCTTCACTCCTGCCACCGCAGAGGTGATGCCTGTCTATCCCCAAAGCCTGTGGTTCCGGAAGGCCCTGCATGCTCTCCCAGCTCTCCCAGTTGGGCCACGCCAGTCCTTTGCCAGGAATGGCTTCCCACCCTTTCCCTGGCTCAGTTCTGCATGTCTTTTTTCCCCGCCACATTGAAACAATCCTGCCTTTCTTTAACATGGAGAATTTTTGGGAGTTCTCTTGTGTCCTTCAACAGCCCCCCCAAGAGAGATAGCACTATCTAAGCGTTCTGCATAATGATTCAACTTCTGTATCTTGTGAAATAGTCACCACAATAAGTTTAACACCCAAACTCTCATTCAGATACAAAAATAAAAGAATTTTTTTCCTCTTTGTGATGAGAACACTTAGGATCTGCTTTTTAAACAGCTTTTCTCTCTCACCCAGCAGTTACTATAACCACCTCCACTTCCTTATTCCTTTTTTATCTTTTAACTGGAAATTGATACCTTTTTACAAACTTCTTTCAATGCCCCTCCCCTCACCTCCTGCCTCTGGTAACCACAAGTCTGATCTTTTTTCTTTTTTTTTTCTTTTTAGATTCCACATATAGGTGAGAGGAAACAGAATCTTTCTTTCTCTGGCTGACTTATTTCCCTTAGATAATTGCCTCTGTTGTGTCTTTTATGTTTCAGTTCATCCACGGATTCTCCCAGGAGAATCCTGCAGGTTGGGCTAGAGGCCTCCCCATCCCCTGAACACTGGTGCCCCCGACCCCAGCAATGGTGGCTGGGGTATATCTGCTGCTTGAAGAACAAACTGGGGGCTAATTATCTTTGAAACCCCAGCACCGAGCACAGCATTTGACATAGAAGTACTCAGAACACGTTTGCTGATTATTTCCAGAAGGGAAACCCTGAGACACAAAACCTTCACGTCTTCCGACTGGCAACTCCACGGAGGCACTGGAGTAAGACTCACTTCCTAGAAGGCCAGGCGGGAGTCTCCAAGGTGGCTCTGAAAGGAGATGCTGGTCAGAGGTCGTCAGCTCATGGCCTAGATCTCATTTCACAGGGTGCACCTGCCATTCCCTAGTTGGGGCCCCAAGTGCGGCAGACGTGATGTCAGATATGCCTCCTTGCTCTGATCCCCGTCTCCCCTGCAACTGGGCTGGGATCAGGCGGAGAGAATGAGCAGGGAGATCCCTTCCAGACATGGTCTTTAGAAAACCTCTCATATGACCCTCGGTTCCTCTCACCCACCAAGGCGGCCTTGGGGGCCACACCTCCAGCTGATGCAGGTGCAGAAGAGGTTGTCCCCAACCTCACTGGACTTGGCACCATTGGGACATAAACCTTCATTGTGTTAAGGCCTGGGATTGGCATTTATCTGTCATGCGAGCAGAGGACGTAGCTGTGCCCCTATAGTCCATGGAACAACACAGCCTCACACATTTCAACAAGGCTGTCTCCTGCCAGCCGAGAGGAGGGAGACAGGGAGGCAGGCTCTAGACCTGCCAGACGTGGCAGCACACCTGGGCCAGGTCACAATAAAACCTCGGCTGCCCCAGGACCACCCGCTGGACCACGCTGTGGCTTCCCCATCCTGCGCTAGAGCAGAGATGGAGGGGCAGGCACTGGGGGCCACATGCAGGTTCCAGGCTCACTGAGTGTATTCAAAGCACAGGTCGACCATTTGCACGATGGCTTTAGTTGGACTTTGTGCCTCAATTTAACTTCCCCTTTCATGCAAAATGAAAGAAACATGTTGTGGTTTATCCTTGTGAGATGCCCGCTCCAGAGATGGCCAGGAGGCGGGGTCCAGGAGGCCCCGGAGCTCACACTCGTACCCAGGGTGGTCGTGGGGGAGGCAGCGACCACTGGGAGGCCCCAACTACATGAGGTGCCTCAGACAGGACTGGTCAGATAAACACATACAAATGCTTCCTCGTCCAGGGGGCCACCTTCCCCTGGCAGGCTGCCTGTGAGCTGGCAGAGCCTGGCACAGGCCTTCACTGGAAGAGGGAGGCGTTCGGCAGCAGTAGGTCTGGAGGAGACAGTTTATAAAGAAGCCAGGGTCAGTACCGGGTGGGTTGCACGGACGGGAGCTGTTTAAATTAGATGCACGTGTGTGAAGAGAAAGCTCTGGGGTTAGAATGTCTTGTACTCAAGGAGGCAGGTCACGGCTCATCCAGGGTACAGGCGTTTCGGTGCAGGTCCTGGCTTAGATCTTACCCTGGCATCTGAGTGAGGGGCCGCCCTGCCCGCGAGGCTCTTCTGGTTACCTTGGCACAGATAGCAGGGCTGCTAACGAGGACAGAAGCTCATGCTAACTAGGCTTCGGCGTCTGACTTTAGCTTCTGTCCCTAAACTCCCCCACTGCCTGTCCCTGGAGCCCTTTCCTCCCTGCTGCTCGCCTGTCTCTCCGCTCCTGATGCCCAGAGAGAAACGGGGGGATCCTCTCGGCGCCCAGCCTCCCTTTTCTCAGTTTTGCTGCAGCCTCTGAAAAGGAGTAGCTCTCAGCTTAGCAGAACCTGTCTGGAATCCAGAGCTGTAGGTGTTGTTTATTTTGTTTTTACATTTTCTGTGATGTGGCTGGGCTACCTCTATAATGCTGGAAATGTTAATGTGAAAAGAAAATGTTTATTTTCTCTACTTTGGAGTCATTTAAGAAATAATCTGGCGCTATAAGCCTACCCTGTGCGTCCTTCTCAGCTGGGAAATCTGGGCTCCACCTCACCAAGTGCCGGGTTCCAGGCTCAGAAAACAGGATGGACAGTCCTACCATCCCAGGGTCACCCTGCAGCCCCAACATAAATCCTGTGATTCTTCTGCATAAGGGGGAGAGTCTCATTGCTAGGTAATGATCAGATCCTAGAATCACAGGATAGGCCTGCAAAACCGAGGCCAACAAGAATAGGGCAGGTGTTGGGATGAGGACAGAGGGGGTAGGTGGTCTACAGCCTGAAACACACAGCCTTGGACTCCCTGAGACCCCCTGCACCCCCAGGTCTGGGACCTCATAGGGATGCCCTGTCACTGCCCTCCCTGAAGTGGGAGGAAGGTGATCCTCATCCGAACAGCCACAACCTGAGGCCTCTTGTGTCACGCACACTAGGGCCTGCTTGACAGTGGGCTGCTCCCTGTGGCTCATGAGTGCCATGACAGGCGCAGGCCCGGGCTCATGATGGCCCTGCCAAGAGGAGTCACTGACACGAGGCTCAGCCTGGTGCTGGACCTGCATCTGCAACTTGGTCTCCAGAACCCTGGAGACCAGATCAGTCGGGTTCCCAGCTGCACAGTTCCTTCATCACAATAATTTATGAGTAAAGAATTATGAGCTGTGCATGTCATAGTCTTGTGTATTGACCAGGCAGGACTGAGGTCCAGGAGCCAATGGCCAGGAGCCCATGGCAGTGGCCGCTGACAGTCCTTTTGCTCCTGGACCTGCATGCTATGCACGCTTTAGACAGATGGCAGGATGGATGTGCTTGTGCTTGGAGGCCCGTAGATGCCCCTGGAGGCCCGTGGGGGCCCCTGGAGGCCTGTGGAGGTCCAGGCCTGCATGTAGCTGATGACTTTCCCTCCCTCTTACCATGAAGACACACGGAAGACCAGGCACTGGTGGTGAGGGCCCCGGAGGTGTGATTAATTCACGGGAAGGTAGGGAAGCCCGCACTGCCTCCAGACAGGGAGCTGAGGAATGAGCCGTGGC